TAGCCTGATTATTAAGCATTCAATATGTTAATTAATTCACACACACTCTCTCAAATGTACACACAGATGCATATTCACAATCCTTATCCAACTATTCACGCAGTGTAAAAACACCATCAGCACAGTAGCAGATAGTGTGACAACCGGACCATTTAATCCACTAGATGGAGCCAGACAGCAGGACATCACATCAGATAACCGCTATCACACTGCCCACTGTTTACTGCAGCGTGTAATAAAGTGTATTCCTCTCTTTTATTTCAGAAACGTGTGCTGGTGTTGCATAATGATTACTATTACACAGACATCAAAGGGACTCCTTTCAGGTAGGAAAAGGATACATTTGTTGACAAGTGAATAAGCTCCAGAAGGACTGAGGTGCCAGTATTTACAGTTGTCTTTCTGCCATCTAAGAACACGTTTTTATTTCTATTTTAGTCTGGGGGTAGCCCTATCCAGAGGCCATGGAAAGTTTTTCTTCAGAGGGAATGTCACAGTGGAGGAAGGTGGGAAATCTTTCTTTTATTTAATCTGCATTTCCTCACTTTTGCTCATTTGTTTCCTGTATTGTTTCTGTCTGTTTTCTCAACCCCCTCTTCCCCTATCTGTATTTATTTATATATTTTGTCACTAATTTGCACTCAACTCAAATGTATTTACTATACAGCAGGATAGTAAAAATCATACAGATTTACTTAAAGAAAAGAGTACCAATACCAAATTTGACACTATATAATATTATTTAAATATGACTATGTTTCATTACAGGTGAACATGGCGTTAATAATTGTTTTGAGGTAAAATACAAAAGCATGGTGTACTTACAACATGTCATTTATGCAGTGGGAGGAAGAACTCCGATTTATATTTTATAGTATTTGATTTTCTGTGGATGATAATTGCATCACTTAAAGTTTAATTAGGATATAATAATGAGCGAACTTCTGATGAACAAATATGTATAACAAGTTTGTTGCGTTTGTTAGTGAATGTCATTAAAGCTATAGAATCTGGAGAGCACTCTATACTTTATTAGCCTCATTTGTTTCATTTAGTTATATTTGATGAGAAGAGTTTTTTCCGGTAAACGTCTGAAACAAAAATCACGGAGTAAGAAGTTTCACTGAAGTATGCTTCACTTTTACGCTTGGGTTAAATACCTTCACTGAGCCTTCTTACGAAATGTATAGGGCAACTCTACCATTACCAAAGTAATGGCTTTCTTAAGGTCTTTCTTATATGATATACTAGTATTGTTATTACTGGTGGATTAATATATAAGCTTTTTTGTTTTTGAGATAATGTTGGGTAGCTAAATTACTGTTCATTTGTATCTAAAATGTTCAAATTTAGTAAAGTGTACAATTTATATGTATAAAGTAGCATACAATAGAAAAAAAGTACCTAAACTCTATTTAGTCACATCCACTACTGACTATCTCATTATGCAACTTTTTTGCTTCCTCTTCTTTCTTTGTGTGTCTCTCTCTCTCTGTGTAACACGCTCACACACTCTTTCAGAAATTATGAATTAATATGAACTTTTCCACAATTGGACAGGAAGTTAAACATTTATTTAATGACTCAAACACATTGCACTCTCAAAACAAGGTCACACTTGACCTTGTTTTGAGAGTGCAATGTTTTTGCCCCTGATTATTTATCCAGCCTCATAAATGTTAATATTCGTGTGTGTGTGTGTGTGTGTGTGTGTTTCTCCAAACACGTCCATCATGCGGAGCCCTCTGAGCATGACTTGGCTCTTCCTGATCTAATCAGAACTGTCACATCCATTCAAAAAACGCATTTTTCACCCCTGGTGTGTGTGATTAAAAGTGTGTGCTTTCGAAGGTCTAGGTGCCTACCCCTATTATTATGATTTTATATTGAGTGGTTTTGCTATGCTTTTGAGATATGAAGTTCTCATTTTCTTTGTAGGACTTCATGACTTGGAGCATCCTGATGTAGCGCTGGCAGATGAATGGTGAGAGTATTTGAATGATGACATATGTTTCTGACAGTATCATCCTCATTTCTTATTCAAGTCACGTTGTTATTGGACTTCATCCTTATTATTTTCCGTACTTATAAAATAAGAATAAATTACATTCTCACAGCACTACAAGAGTTATATAACAGCTCTGCAGGACTTTGACTTGATGGTCTGTGTCACTTGATGAATTGTGGTCTCAAAAATTAGGACCCAACATCTAAGTAAAGTAAAACAAATCAAACTAATTCTGGTAAATGAGTCAACCTTTTTAGTTTTACTTCACATTTAATTCATCATAGATGCTGTGCAATGCAAAAAGCCACCTGTCTATATGTTTGAGTTGTGATTACAATCTTAGGCAGATAATCATCTTAAAGCACCGTTTTCAAATAGCTGCTGCAAATCATGACTTTGTTACATGTTATTATACCAAATGTCCTTATTGCCGGTTCTTATTAAATTGCAGGACATACTGCAATACAGACGAGCACCCAGAGCACCGATACCTGTCCCAGATAGAGGCAATCAAACTCTACCTCAGTGGACATGAACCCCACCTACAATGTTAGTTCAATTCTTCCACCAACTCTCTGCTCATATCATTAAATAGCTTTCATATGTTCTGCTTGTTTTATGTAAAAAAACGAATTTGCGTTGTCAGGTGACAAGGAGCTGATCCAGGAGGTTCTGTTTGACGCTGTGGTCACGGCCCCTTTGGAGGCCTACTGGACGAGCCTCGTGCTCAACAAGTCGGAGTGAGTGAGCCACTCTATTTTTCCATATTCTTGTCAAAAACAGAAGACACAAATTAATCACAAACGGAATGTTTTACTCTCTGAAATAGTAATGCTAATGCTACAGACATTTGCAGAAATTAAATGTTAAGAATGGCATGAAATAGCTTTTAGTAAAAACCAAAATCTAAGGTTTGTTAAAGCCTCTGTTCTGTTTTATTGAGTCGGGTTACTTTATTTGTCCTACTACACAGGAACTCAGATAAAGGTGTAGAGATTGCCTACCTGGGCTCGAGAACAGGCTTGTCGAGGATCAACCTGTTTGTGGTGCCCGACGAGCTCACAAACCAGTAAGTATACTCGGTGTAGCAGTTTATACGTACGTTTGCTCACATAGAAGCTAAATGCATGTGTTGATTGCTTTTATGTGTAATATTCCATGATTATATGTTGTGTTTTGTGCGTGTGCATCCTCTGAATCTTCATCCCCTTTGTTCCCTGTCTGCTTCAAGAGACTTCCTGACAGCTGAAGACAAAGAGGGGGTGTTCAACGCCGATCACTTTCCCCTGTGGTACAAGAGGGCAGCAGAACAAGTTCCTGGGACCTTCGTCTACTCGCTACCCTTCAACTCAGGTTGGCTATAAATGTGAACCTTCAAAACATTATACATTTTATTTAAATGTGTTTAGATCCACACAGTCACTATTACTAATGTAATACAATGAAACCGATAATCACTATATATTACTGGCACCAATGTAATAGTAACTTTTTGTCAAATGCACATTTAAAATGTAATACTCACTTACTAGTAATACTAGTACTACTAGAAATGACCTTTTCCACATTTCCTGCATCTCCTCTTTTCCTCTTTCACCCCTATTTGGTTATTTTTCTTCCCATGCATCCCTACCTCCCCTTCCTCCCTTATTAATTCTGGGCTGTGTTCTTGTGGACAGGACTGATTGCTGTGGGTTGAAATAAGATACGTTAGGAGGAGGTTCAGCCCTTTCCATAGTGACTTGGCCAGAACACACAAAAAGACACACAAAAAACACACACCCCTTTACAGTTCAACTATGGCTCTACGAAATGGTTTCTCCTCCATTCCAGGGGGAATGTGTTCTCATCTGTCCTCGGCCTCAGGCTTTCCATTAGTGCCAGCTAATACAAGTGATCTGAAAGCCTCTTATTTACTCGTCGGACTTGCCTTGGATGCACTCTTCCTCGTAGAACTGTGGCAGTTATCTGATGCCATGAAATTGTACTCTGTGGTATTAAGGTTTCTCTCTCCAATCACCCTGTGGTCAGTTCATAACTCATATAAGGCATTATGACATGTGATCTGAACTCCTTGTGTGCCTGTGCGTGTTATGTTTGTGTTTTGTTTCATGTGTGTGTGTCTTAGGATCAGAAAACAAGAGTGTGGTATTGGCCAGCACCGCCATTCAGCTTCTGGATGAGAGGAAATCACCCATAGCTGCGGGTAAGTGGGGACTCAAGTGGCTCTTTCTCTCTCACACTCACTTCTACATTGACAGACGCTGCGATATCTCTCCTTACAGTGCTATGTAGGCTTTGTTTTCCTGGTCTACAGTACTAACCCTACTTATTTTCCTTTTTTTGAGATGAAACACTCACTGCCCACATGTACTGACTGTACTGCTTTTTCTGTCCGTGCGCTTGCCCCTGCATGAACGTCATAAGGAGGCGAGAGTGTAACATGGCACAGACGTTTGCATCCAAGAGTATTTATGTATACCTACATATATTAATAACCAGTTTCTTAAACGCCTTTTGTGCATTAGTTATTTCCCCTGTGATTATTTAAGGCATAATGTAGCCCAGAGGATTTCATTGTGGCCTGCCTCCTCTCACGTCTGTGTGACTCAGAAGCGCCACAATGTCACGGACATATAATGCAACTTGCTGCAATCAGCAAGTTGATGGAATGAAGAGCAGCCTTGTTCTTTTTGCCATCAACTCAGTTATGGAGGAAGGAAATTCAAATTATATGGAAGAAATGAAACATTTGGGGAAAACATTTATATAAATGTATGGTGTCAAAGTGGTTATGGTACCAAAGTTATATGACCTCCTTCATTACCCAAGTCTCCCTGAAAGCACATGAGGACTTCCAGTCATCGTTTTGTGTATTATGCGTTACCAAACACAATACGTTGACTGTGGTACTGTAAAGTATATTTAAATGACAAAAAGTAACTTGTATTTTTGTTTGCAAATAATGAACATAAAGAAAGTTGGAAGCACCTTGTTCTTTTAAATCTTTATTCCAGCATCTAGTTTTCAAAGGGACATGTTAAGGCCAGCTAATTATACTGACTCCATGTGTTTTTGGCTTAATGCTAATCTTTAGGCAGCTATGCTTCTTTAAGGTGCCACAGACACTCTTTATGTTTATCCTCTGCATGGTCTTTTCCTGTCCAGTATTTTCACACTAAATGTTGCATAAAAAGCTTTTGTAAACACCCAAAAGAAATATCTTGACTGTGAAAGTATTCTATTCAAATATACAGTAGTTTGCAGCATGTGAAGTATTTCACTCATTTCCACTGCCCAACATATGTGGGACAAATATGTTGCACAGCCTTTGGCTCATATGAAAGCCTCTGCTGATGACTATCTATGTATGTTCTCTTGTCGACAGATGAGGGCTAGAAAAGCCTAGGGATCACAGAAAAATACATAGACAGGGGAGAGAAATGCTGCAGAAAGATAACAATCTTTGGGAAATGAAGTGATAAAATAAGAGAGGAAATAAAAGGGCAGAGAAGGAGAAAATTATTTCACGGTGCCTGAATGCGTTGACATGAAAGCAGTGCATTGTGGGTACTCTTGGCCTGGGGGAAACCACTGGAGCAGAAGGACAGAGATGGGAGAGTATGTGCAGTGCCACGATGCGCACACACACACAAACACACACACATAGAGAATGCATCAGATTTCTAGCAGAGCGGTACAAAAGCATCCCACAGTTTACACCAGCCCACGGTATTATTTGACACTGTTGACTTGATCACTATTGTTTTAAGATAATATCAATCTTTCAAATCCTGTTTAGCAGCAATCCAAATGACGATTCGGTGACAAGGTTTCATGAATACCCTTTTGTTACACTGGGTGCTGATGTACAGTAATTACGATCATGCTTGTCAGATCGGAGGATGTCTATAATGATGATTTTATATAAGAGGGTCAGATGGGAGGAGAGATGTAGGCTTGAATGCAAATGTATCGTGGACCGGTTAGGGCCAGTTTTCACTTCCCTGCGCTCCACTGAGCTGTAGACTTGTGAATACGCTAATACACTAACTGGACAGGACAGGCTGATGACATCACACACCATGGGCCCTGCAGATAACGCTCGAGTCACAATGTTACCGTGTCCGTACAAACATGCATGTGTATTCCAGCGTGTCTGTGTGTGTATGTCAGTTTTTGTGGTCACATGCTTAACCACGTGCAGTTAGTGTGCTGTCGTATTATACGGTCACAAAACTCAGGTCGGCATGAAGACGAAAAGCATCTGTACACATTCATGTGCTTCATACTACACTGAGTAAGCTTAAAGTAGCTAGCTATTGCTATATAGATAAAATAATGGTAGCTAGTTACGTACACAACAACCTTTCTTAGGTTATATAATCTACACACATTGACTGATTATCTTCTTTGTGTTATTTTACAAATATTAAAATAGTCAAGAGAGAGCAATCAGATATACCTGCAGTTGCATTGTATAACACGTTACAATTCCCTGGTAACAGTACCAATACATATGGGCACTATTCAACCATGCCTTCAGATGCGTCTCCTATACCAAGTACAGTATAAACCACAATATGTCAATAGAACTGTTTGTGTGTTTCAACATGTTCTCTTGTCAGGTTATTTGACACAACATTAAAATATTTTTTAAAGTAAGTAAACAAAGAAAAAAATCACTTAAACAGTAGAATGTACTCCAAAGTGAATATATATATTTTTATAAATACCATTAAAATTCTTGTTAAGATACTTTTTCGATGTAAAGATGCATGCCATCTCAAGTTAGTTGTCAGCAGAAATATAATATCCCAATAACATGTTTATTTGATATATTACATACTGAATGTCATGACTACCATTATGTAATCAGCATTAACTCAAAAACAAGACTCAACTGATCTGAAAAAAGCTGTAGATCTAAGATGTGTGTTTGTGACCGTGTGAAGCAGGATGATAATCAAAGCTCATAAACCTGTAAAGTCATAGAAAAACAACAAGGCCGAGTCCAAGTTTTGTTGTTGTTTTCTTTTTTAGTTTGTTTCATTATTGCTTCAACGAATTTCCCATCTTCATTGTAGTTGTCAGAAAAATATCCTTTAGGAAAACATACTGTATTCCCTCTTCAGAACTATATCACGTTATTAGGCACAGACTCTTAAATTCTCTATAAATATGTGCATACAGTAAACATCTCCGCGCATAAACTCAAGCACAAATAAAACACTGACACAAACACTCATTCTTTCTCATGCTCTCACATCAATGATACAAACATCTTAGAACAAAACCTAACTGACAGCAGCTGCCTACTATGAGTTTCAAAATTACCTCAAATTTAGACTCAAAGTTATGAACAACAAACCAAAAGACAACAAATTCTGAAATCCTTTTTTTTTTTTTTTTTAAATACCAGAGCTTTACTATTTTACCTACCAATATACAATTATAAATATATAGTTCCTATCCGTGATACGCATTACTCAGACAAAATGGAATTGATTCCTTTTGGATTCTTTGGCCTTCCCACTTGAACCCGCATACATCAGAATATACTTTTCTCACCAGTGCATAGTGAAATACCTGTAGAGTTTAGCTACCAAAGTCTCAGAAAGAAGGACACACACACACACACACACACACACACACACACACACACACACACACACACACACACACACACACACACACACACACACACAAATAATCTTACTCTCTTCTTTTCTCTCACACGTGCACCAACACACACACACACACACACTCACACACAGACACACACACACACACACACACACACACACACACACACCACACACACACACACACACACACACACACACACACACACACACACACACACACACACACACACACACACACACACACACACACACACACACACACACACACACACACACACACAGACACACACACACACACACACACACACACAGCATCCACAGAGAGGATTAGGTTAAAGGGTCGAGGCTCAGGTTTATGTCCAGGGTTCGAGATATCATCTCCTAGGCGATAGCATTCTCCAGTAGTTCCTTCTCATCTGCTTTGGCATGATCTGCCCCCTTCGCTGCTGCCAGCTCCTCGTTCTTCTTAAGCTCCCGCTGATATTTGGCCATGATAGCAGCGTAGGCGCAGCCGTACACTGCTGCAGCCAGCATCATCAGAAACACAATCCCACAAACTACTCCGGTGATGATCACTGTGGCAATTGCATGGCGCAAGTTGACAGGCCGGTGCCTTTGCTTAGGTTCACACTCTGGCAAACCTGATCCTCCTCCTCCTCCTCCGCCTCCTCCTCCAAAACCCTCCCCCATTGCCATGGGTACATGGATAGCATGGCTAGAGGGATGAGCATGGTTACCATGGGTGTGCCCTCGCAGTAGCCTCTCATTCTCCAGGTGATGTATGTTAGCAAACAGGTAATGGTAGCTTGAGGTCATGCAGATGTGGAAGAGCTGGTAAGGGACCTTCTGCAGGTCTGTGTTCTTCATTTCCTCTGGCTGTGTGCATATCACCTCGTCCACCACTCCACCTTGGGAATAGAGTTAAATAGTTAGGTCAGCGGAGGATAGTAGAAGATCGACTAAGGAGTAGGAAAGAATATGGAGGCATGCATCAGTCAGTTGCATTCTAATTACGTTACCTATTGATAAGTGCCTATTTCCTTTTTGGCAGCTTACTACAGAGGAGGCCACAATCTTTATCATCATAGCCGAGCTTGAAACAGCCCATTACTTCATACATTTAATAATGTAGGTTGTAAAGGCTTACTGTAATGGAACATAATAGCAATTTGATTTGTTTAACACCTCGATGTCTGGAGCCAATTTAATTGTGTTGAGAACAATTAATTGGGACTTTATTGACTGTTTTCCCTGTGAAGCTTTTATTATTCATCTCTTGGCATCCATGTCACACACTTCCTTTTCTGCCTGCCTGATTAACCACTGGCTTTCTATTAAGAATACATCCTTTTATCTGGGTCCATTGTTCTGTTGCGCAGTAATTAGAAAATTCAGCTTCTAAGACGAGAGCTTTGTCAGGGTAACATAGGCATGTAGGCGGGCCAGCACACTCCAAGCGAGCGTAGCTTTCACTGTACAGTGGTTATTTTGTTATCTAATGCATGTTGGGGTTGATCTTGCATGTAAAATAATGTGGTTGGCTATTTAACTCTTAATACACTATCTTGCCTAACATCACAACATCATTCTTATTACTGCTCAAAACAAGCTTTAAGGTAAAGCAATTTGATTTAACAATGCCCTACTTTACTAATGTTGCAAATCCTCAAATCCACTTGATCCTATACAGTTGTATCACGCACCTCCCAAAACACAGTACAAATCAGATGTTAATAATGGTTTGAAAATAAAAATAAAAGCAACCTACATTCTTTCTACAGCTACACAAACAACAAGAGACACACGTGCACTGAGTTCCCCGTATTTAGTAACTTGCCTGTTCTTAACATACATAAACATTATATCTATTTGGGGTCAGTCAGTTGATTTTAATCCCTCAACGTTGTAGAATACCTGTTTGTGTTCAAGGTCAGTGTTATCATAATACAATATTACCATTATCTAATGACCAGCAGGGAAGGCACTGAGATGGCTGAATGTTGGAAACATTACCAACACTCCTCCAGCACACCAAGAGCTACTAGTGGTCTCTAACCTTTATAGATGAAGGTTTCCAGCCACAGTTTGAGGCCTATGAGCTGGCAGTCACACCTCCAGGGGTTGCTTCGTAGTGTGAGGCTGTCCAGGTGGGTCAGGACCTCCAAAAGAGAGCGGTCCAATCTTGTTAGCTTGTTGTGCGATAGCCCTAGGTGGCTAAGGTTCCTCAAACTTTCCCCCAAGGCTCCAGGCAAACCCCACAGGCTGCATCAAGGGACATGCAAAGGAAACAAGATAAATTGCAATCAGTTATTTGGGATTAACTTTACAGTTTGTATCATTCAACAATGGACAGTTTCAGTCAGTTGCTTAACCTGTTGTGTGAAAGGTCAAGGTGTGAAAGTGTGCGGATGGGCCCAAGCAACCGCTTGTCAAGCTCTCTCAGGCTGTTGTAGGCCAAGCTGAGGCGCTGTAGAGCTCTGAGTCCCAGCAGCGCAGTCGGCGAAACAGTGGTTATAGAGTTATTAGATAGATCGAGAATCCGGACTAGAGGTATTTCTCTGAAAGCCATAGATCCCAGCCCCCTGATACGGTTATCTTGGAGATACAATTCTTGAGTTTCCGGATGCAGTCGTTTGGGGATGTCATACAGGCCTCGACCCCGGCAGTCTACTACTTTGGTGTTGCCGTTGCAGCTACACTCCTTCGGACAGGCATGTGACAAAGAGAGGAGGGAGAGGAGGGCACACACCAGTACCACTGTGGAGACAGGAGAACATATTTTGAGTTGACTTCTAATGTGCTTTTGTTTGTGCATATAAATGCATTCCAAAAAAGTATTTAGAAAAACAATGCACTTCACTTAGTTTTTGCTCAGAAAGTACTGTTCTTTGTCTAACTAACAAGAAAATAAACTTATTATTAATATGCCAACTCCCACTTCCCACCGTCTCTTATAGACAGTGGCCCTTGGTGACTTCACCACAGACCTATAACCCCTCACCCACACTACACCCACACACAAATCCATACACAGCAGATATTGGGTGTCTGATTCCCTTTGAGATGACTTCACATCGCCATTCCTTCTGGAACATAACATCAGTATTTATAGCATTGGTTGGACTAGCTTGAGGCTCAATGAAATAAAGCTCCGACCCAGGCCTTCAAAGCTTGCTCAAAATATACACTCACTAACCCGATTGATTATTGTGCACCATGTGTATCTTTATAAGTATAAAATGTTCTTCTGAAACCTTACGCTGCCATTGGGAATAGGAAATATCGTTATTCTTCTTGGGTTTTGTCTTGCACTAAAATATCAGCCTAAATGTGCCTTTGTGAGGAAGCAGCTATGAGTCTCATATCAACCTGAAACATGTTCCCAGGTACATCTAGGAAACACTGAGTAGCCTTTACTGTAATAATCAGTTAAGGAATGTTAATTTGAATTGGACAGCAAAATGTAATTGTTTTGCTGGTGGTCACACAACACTCATCTCATTGGGAACGCCTTTCTCCCACTGCGGCTCTATTCTTTAAATACACACTATTGTAACATTATCTACCAATTAACATTGAGTGTGCCATTTACAAGCATGTAATGATCATTTTGTTTTAGCCTGACTGGTGGACTTCTTGCAGTTGTTTGTGATTTACAGGTTTATAAATACCCAGGCGCAGGCGCTCCCAGGTCTAATCTCAGGTGTTAGTTTGGTACGGCAGTGTTGCTGTTATGATTACAGTATGTCGCTCGCGTCAACAAAAACAATCAGAACACGGCTGACTTGAGTTGTACTGCGCTGTAGTGCAAAGCCTAGTATTAATTGCATCCTTGTTAGTGAAATTAGAGTGTGTGTGTATGCAAGGATCCATTCAATCACATGGGTTTACACGTGTGCACATACTCATAAACAAACTCATATACATACACTGCCCGGGCACACAGAAACGGCATCAGCTCAGTGAAGCATTGTAACAGCAGCTCTGAAATGAGGTCAACACAGGAGAATGTCTCTTTGCTTTAATATGTCCCTCCAACCCAAAGTACACACAGAGAAGCTTGTAATGACAAGCACACAGCAAGTACAGTTTTAAATGCACTTGATACCAAAACCTTTTTACAATGATAAACATGCACAGGCCATGTTTATCTACAGTTACAAGTGAGAATGTAGTGCTGCCAGGTGTACGTTTAACTGTTCATTTAGGAAGGGAAGCAAGGAGCAGTTCATGCTTCATTACCACTCAGTTATACAACAGTTTATACAACATATTAAACTCAGCAGCTGATAGCAGCCCACCTAGCCATACACTCATGAACATGAACCCACACACACACACACACACACACACACCCACACACACACACACAACACACACACACACACACACACACACACACACACACACACACACACACACACACACACACACGTTGTTCCCAGTGATGGAGCTCCTACCTCTCATATCTGCCAGTCGTCCTTGGGCCGCTTGCATTCGGTCTTCTTTTAGCTCCCTTTTTGGATTCTAGTGACTGTTATTGGTTGATGATCCATTAGCCGTCAGTAGCTTGAGATTAGCTGTCCTGTGTAGGCATATATGGTCAATATGTTGGAATTAGAGAGGCCGAGATCAGCAGCAGAGACCCGTGTTGCCCTCAGGATCCCCAACGCTGCCTGCACAAGCATGAAACCCCATCAGAGCGGGCAGATCAGAGCACAGAGCTTACTGCCAGCCAGTCTGGGAATCACTACAGTTAAGGAGCTCTGCCCTCTCTCTCTCTCTCTCTCTCTCTCTCTCTCTCTCTCTCTCTCTCTCTCTCTCTCTCTCTCTCTCTCTCTCTCTCTCTCTCTCTCCCTTACTCTCCCGCTCTCCTTTCCTAGCTCTCTCACTCCCTCTCAACCTCTCTTTCTGTCTCTTGTATTTTACTTCATGCTGTTTTTCCACCCTTGTTACTATCCTCCTTTTCTCTCGCTGGATTTTATTTTGCTCCTCTATCAAATCCACTGGGGAATGTGCGGCGTGTCATCTCCCAGTGGACAGTTGTTCCTCTTAAATCATACAGCAAACACGTACGCACTATGCAGACATCCACGATACCTCCTATTACGCTGGCAAGAGCTGAGCAAGACAACATTAGATCTGGATTGTGGTTTGTCATATGAACAAATGCTTCAGACACTTCAGCACACAGTGAAAGCAGTTGGAGGATGCCCATTGCTGTGGCACGCTTTGATGATATTATGCATGTGCCGTGGGCAGAAGGGCTGGCAGAACACGCCCCCAGCACAGCAACACAGAACGCACGAATGCACACTTGCACACAGCAAGATATTAAGCTGTTGCAGTAAATTCACATGGAATTGAATGTGTTTGCATGGCAATGGGTTGACTGTTAAGCTTATATGACCTTACGCATCACTCGAAGGGGAAACTAAAATGGACAACAAAGGAGACATGAAGAGATTAATGATCAAATCATTTTTAATAATGATTATGATTAAGCTTACAAGTTGACCTTGCCCTGTAATACCCTCCATGCTATTTGGCCTCCTGTCCCTCTATATTTGTATCTCCGCTAAAGGGCATCACAAATATTTGTCCTGTCATATTGGCTTTAATATAAATTGAGTTCAATGGGCAATTAATGCACAGATGAAGATTAATTTAAATCATGTTTAGTGTCATGCGCTTGCACACACACACTCTTGCCAACACTCCTATGCACACTTGGGTGCCTTGAGTCGGCAAACACATCCTCAATGGGTGAAAACACCTTTGTATTTGCTAAAAGCCCCATATTGTTGATGTGTACAGACAGCCTTCTGTATATGTGCTACATGTTACAAACATAAAAAAAACATGCTCTACTTTTCTCTCCTCTAACCAGATTGTCATATATTATCACCATGTGCATATCCTGTGACACATTTACTGCATGTGGCATTAACACCTTAAGGGCAAACTCCAAACGTGGTTTACATGATTCGAATATGATCTTTTTATTCAATCACACGGTTTATCCAGAGAGCTATTTGAGATCTGATCATTTTTTTAATCATTAACAAGAACACACAGGGGCGAGAGGTCGGTGGGGCCTAACTCTAGTAGACTGTTTGAATCACTAACAGCAGCACCTTGTTCTGCTCATCTTCTGAGTGTTGCTCAATATCTTGACCCGATCCGCCCCCTGTGCTGTGTAGCAACATAACATTTGGAAATCACTGCATCTCTCAGACAGCTGTGCGTGTTCTGTGTGAAATATGTACTAGATGTATGCCTGTCCTTCATGTACTGAGGCAGGGGTGTAAATGCTAACCCTTGCCACAGCACGTAGTACATGAGCACACATACTTGCAAACTCCCAGATGCCCTCTTGCGCTGCTTCATGTCTACATTTATTCAATCCTTTTCAGAATCCCAAACATCTGAAGGATTTAAACCGGTTGTCATCTCTCCCTGCCTGGGATTGCACTGCTAGCGGATTGGTGATGGGAAGGGTTTGTTGTGGATTTTATGTCTCTTCATCTTTGGACTTATAAACCCAGCTCAAGGTGTAAATACCCCCCAAGTTCTTAAATCATACCTAGGAAAATTAAATGATTCCCCATTGGACAGAAATTCCTGAGCATTAGTGAGATTTAAGCTTTTCTCTTTTTGCTCTGAGCCAACTTCCAGGTAGCAGGCAGCAGCAGTGCAAACTTCTGTACTGCTGGAAACTGGATTTTTGTTTCCATTAATTATTTCCCTTGCTGAACGATTATGTAATGATATTTAAAATATAGTTTTATTCATTGACAATTTTATAAATAGTCTTTTTATGTTTTGGATGAGATATTTTAAGTTGACATGTTCTCACAGTACTCGTTTGGCCTCCTCGTCTTTTTCTTTTTCAGTGACTGTTTCCTTTCTACCTTTTAAAGTAGAGGATGTTGTATTGCCTTTATGATCCAGGTTCTCCTTGGTTTTACACCACGTGTGTTTCCAACGCTGTTGCCCAGCATCTCAAATTAGCTTCTCCTCCTGGGTTTTCCATGTGGGTGTAGAAATGGTGGGCTGCTGAAAGGAACTGGCAACGCTTATGACGGGATAATCTGCACCTGTTCCTCTGGGCAAGGGCTAAAAACAGGCCACAGCAGCTCCCCGCTGCACACTGCTCTTAGACAATCACACAAATGCACGAGCACACTCAAACAAATTAAACAAAATGAATATTTCTCACTGACAATTCACATGTTGACTACCAGCGAAGCTTTCTGTAGTGCATTTTTGTAAAAGCTACTGACTGTACTGGATCCCTCACAGTAACCCATTTTAATTTGTTTTACATTATGATCAATAACATATAAACAGCATGGTCACACAGTTGCCTTTCCTGATCCCTGCACTAGGCAGTAAACAAATTCATTTTATAGTTACTGCTACAACTTTGGTACTATAAAATATAAACTAATAAATGAAATACAGCTATAATAATAAAAGAGTAATATTTGTTATTTGTGTACGTGTGTATAGAATCCAAATTGTGTAACGTGATTAAGTAATAATTTATGCAATTTAAGAATAACAATTGTTGAGTTATATATTTAGTATATAATTGAGAAGTTATATTATATTCATCATATTACAGGTAGAAAAAATTGACTCACATCAAATCCTTCCTGCTTAATAGCTACCAATTCATTGATAACTTATTCATAAGCACTTGGAATATCTAAAAACATAATGCAGATATTGCTAAATGTCTCCCATAAAAATGAATATATTAATTAATCTATAATTAACAACATGAGTCATCAGAGGGATTTCTGCAGATTTGTACAGACAGTTTGGGAATTGAAATGTGAGTTTAGCAATGTGTAGCCAGGATTGCTCTATTAAGAGTTAATCAATGTGTTACTGTCTTAATGCGGTGTTGCCCTATACAGTAGGTGGTGGCCCACTTTTGTTGTTGTAGCTTGTTGTATTTCAACTCATTATGACTTCTGTACATTTGTGGAACTAATTTGTTTAAACACGATACATATAAATAACCCACCTTCCATTCAGTCTTCTTATTTAGTGTGAAATACCTTTACACATCTCACAAAAAGACATAAATCCATTTGTATCAGTTGGTATCACATTGCATTTTCTTTGCATTGCAATTGTTATCTTTCCACTGTGTCTAATGTGATAAATGCCGAATTCTCATCTCGTCATTTCGTTTACTACCTGTGGCTTCTCTGCATTTGGATGAAGCTTTAAATTGTGCTCCTGGAAAGATTTACAGACCCCAACGCATGGCAGACCCCCACTAAGAGAAAGCTAGATTCCTCTGAGTCTTAGTAGCAGGGGGTAGAGGGACGAAGAGTTGAGGAGGGAAGTTAAAGCCTGTGGTGATGAATGTGTCATTATTTCCTCAGCCAACCCTGAAAAAACTGATACATTTAATGCCAGAAACTGTTTTTTTTCCAGGCAAGGAATTCTGGTTAGATTTGTGAATTTAGGGACCTGCTGTGATGAGGCTTATGTAAGGGAGAGCAGCTCTGTATACCAACTCTGGAAATGCCCATCGGGATAACAACAGGGAGGCAGACTGGGAAATAAGATGGATTTCATGTGGGCACAGAGAGAGAAGTCTGCTTTAGAATGGTGTTTAACTGCATTTTCAGTGTGGTTAGCGGCATCTGTGCACATGTCAGCAGATAGTACTGTTTTAGATACAAACACACACACTTAGCCTCCCAGAAATATAAGCTGACACATGTATGATGCAGGGTGTAATTTTCCTTTTGGCCTGGAGTGGTTCGCTGCAATGTATGTGTCTTGTTGGTTAATGAAAGGTGAACTTTGACTCTGTGTATTGATTAATAAGCTCTGTCTTGCCTGTGGGAAGATTGGTGTTGTGATCACAGTTCACTTGCACTTCAACGCAGAACAGAACACGCAAATGTCCAGTTGTTACAGTGCGTCTCTGTGAATGTGTTCTGTCTTTCAGCTGTTGGCATCCAAATGAAACTGGAGTTCTTTCAGAAGAAATTCTGGACAGCCAGCAGACAGGTAAAGAGGCATAAACACACATCATGCATGCATACACATTCAGACCAATATTACAAGCACACTTAACTTGAAATAACCTATAGGAAAGAGTAGGCCTAACAGTAGTTTAAAAACACAACAAATAAAGTCATTTAAGTCTATTTGAAAAAACTGACCTTGACATTTTTTAAGTATAAATCTGAACATGGGAAGGTCGTCATTAGTTTTATTAATGTATTTCACAAAGATTTTTGAAGGGAGTAAATGTTTTCAGCTGACAAAGGAATCCAACAAAGCCCTAATATTCAGTGTGACTCATACACAGTATGCCAATATATTATTTGTATCTTTCAGTGTGCAGCATTAGATGGGAAATGCTCCATAAGCTGTGATGATGAGGTTGGTTGTCTTTGCTTTTCTTCATCAACTTTGCACGATTCTGTAAATGTTACTCCTCACAATTGCTTTAACAGTTTTTTCTTCATTTAACAGAACATTAACTGCTACCTCATTGACAACAACGGCTTTGTTTTGGTGGCAGAGGACTACACTCTGGTAAGCCATCTACACACTAAGACACACACACACAAGAGCGGCAGGAAAGATCAATGGAAAATGTTCCATAACAGTCACAGCTATAACAAACACATCACCTTTTTGCAAAAATAGAAATCAAGAATACATTCAGAAACAGTTGTTTTTCA